GCTTAGCTGCAAAAACCTCATTTCTCTACAAGACATTACCATGTGAAATATGTTCTTGAAAGAGTAAAATTTTCCACATAAATACGGATTTTGCAATTAAACTCCGCCGTTGGGTCTGCCAACGAATAAAAAAAATCATTAAAATCGAGATAGGGTGGATGGGTGGGGCTTATATCTTGCCTCTTTTTCTTAATATACGTAGTCTTCTTTTCATAACAAGAAACTTAAACATGTTCAAAAATTTTGCAAGGAATAAAAAAATCATCACAATGGAAATCGGGAATCTTTTTAGTTACATATAGTTTTATTTGAACAACACGGTAGTCAAGTGAGTTTTTAGTTTCTTGTTAGGAAAAGATTTCGTATATTAAAAAAAAATGTACAAAATATAAGCCCCGCCCACCCACCCCCGCTCAATTGTGATGATTTTTTTATTCATGGTGACCGAGGGTGGAGCTTAGCTGCAAAAACCTCATTTCTCTTCAAGAAATTACCATGTGAAATGTGTTTGAGTAAAATTTTCCAAAGAAATACGAATTTTGCAATTAAACTTCGCCACTGAATCCGCGAACGAATAAAAAAATTCATTACAATCGAGATAGGGTGGGTGGGTGGGGCTTATATTTTGCCCTGTCTTGTTAACATTTGTAGTTTTCTTTTCACAACAAGAAACTTAAACATGTTCAAAATTTTTGCAGGGAAACATGTATTTTGCAATTATGCTCCGCCTCTCGGTCTGACAACGAATAAAAAATTCATCATTATTGAGATCGAGACTTTTTTTAGTCATTTATAGTTTTGGTTGAACAACACGATAGTTAAATATGATTGTATTTAGTTTCTTGTTGGGAAAAGAAGATTTCGTGTATTAAAAAAAATGTAGAAAATATAAGCCCCGCCCACCCACCCCTTCTCAATTGTGATGATTTTTTTATTCATCATGAGCAGAGGGCGGAGCTTAGCTGCAAAAACCTCATTTCTCTACAAGACATTACCATGTGAAATGTGTTTGAAAGAGTAAAATTTTCCAAAGAAATACGGATTTTGCAATTAAAGTCCGCCGCTGAATCCGCCAACGAATAAAAAAATTCATTACAATCGAGATGGGGTGGGTGGGTGGGGCTTATATTTTGCCCTCTCTTCTTAATATATGTAGTCTTCTTTTCATAAGAAGAAACTTAAACATGTTCAAAATTTTTGTAGGGAAACATGTATTTTGCAATTATGCTCCGCCCTCAGTCTGACAACCAATAAAAAATTCATCATAATTGAGATCGGGACTTTTTTTAGTTACATGTAGTTTTATTTGAACAACACGGTAGTTAAATGAGTTTTCAGTTTCTTGTTAGGAAAAGATTTCGTATATTAAAAAAAAATGCATAGAAAATATAAGCCCCGCCCACCCACCCGCCCTCAATTGTAATGATTTTTTTATTCCTCGTGAGCAGAGGGCGGAGCTTAGCTGCAAAAACCTCATTTCTCTACAAGACATTACCATGTGAAATGTGTTTTTGAAAGAGTAAAATTTTCCAAAGAAATACAGATTTTGCAATTAAACTCCGCCGCATGGGTCTGCCAACGAATAAAAAAAATCATTACAATCGAGATAGAATGGGTGGGTGGGGCTTATATTTTGCCCTGTCTTGTTAACATTTGTAGTTTTCTTTTCACAACAAGAAACTTAAACATCTTCAAAATTTTTGTAGGGAAACATGTATTTTGCAATTGCCCCCGGTTTGACAACGAATAAAAAATTCATCATTATTGAGATCGAGACTTTTTTTTAGTCATTTATAGTTTTGGTTGAACAACACGATAGTTAAATATGATTGTATTTAGTTTCTTGTTAGGAAAAGATTTCGTATGTTAAAAAAAATATATAGAAAATATAAGCCCCGCCCACCCACCCCCTCTCAATTGTGATAATTTTTTTATTCATCGTGAGCCGAGAGCGGAGCTTAGCTGCAAAAACCTCATTTCACTTCAAGAAATTACCATGTGAAATGTGTTTTTGAAAAAGTAAAATTTTCCAAAGAAATACGGATTTTGCAATTAAACTCCGCCGCTGGGTCTACCAACGAATAAAAAAAAAACATTACAACCGAGATAGGGTGGGTGGGTGGGGTTTATATTTTGCCGCTTCTTCTTAATATGCGTAGTCTTTTTTTCACAACAAGAAACTTAAACGTGTTAAAAATTTTTGTAGGGAAATATGTTTTTGCAATTACGCTCCGCCCCTCGGTCCGACAACGAATAAAAAATTTATCATAATTGAGATCGGGACTTTTTTTAGTTACATGTAGTTTTATTTGAACAACACGGTAGTTAAATGAGTTTTCAGTTTCTTGTTAGGAAAAGATTTCGTATATTAAAAAAAATACATAGAAAATATAAGCCCCGCCCACCCACCCGCCCTCAATTGTAATGATTTTTTTATTCCTCGTGAGCAGAGGGCGGAGCTTAGCTGCAAAAACCTCATTTCTCTACAAGACATTACCATGTGAAATGTGTTTTTGAAAGAGTAAAATTTTCCAAAGAAATACAGATTTTGCAATTAAACTCCGCCGCATGGGTCTGCCAATGAATAAAAAAATTCATTACAATCGAAATAGGGTGGGTAGGTGGGGCTTATATTTTGGCCTCTCTTCTTAATATACGTGTAGTCTTGTTTTCCATAAGAAGAAACTTAAACATGTTCAAAATTTTTGTAGGGAAATATATATTTTGCAATTACGCTCCGTCCCTCGGTCTGACAAAGAATAAAAAATTCATCATAATTGAGATCGTGACTTTTTTTAGTTATTTATAGTTTTAGTTGAACAACACGATAGTTAAATATGATTGTGTTTAGTTTCTTGTTGGGAAAACAAGATTTCGTGTATTAAGAAAAAATGCACAAAATATAAGCCCCGCCCACCCACCCCCTCTCCGTTGTGATAATTTTTTTTATTAATCGTGAGCCGAGGGCGGAGCTTAGCTGTAAAAACCTCATTTCTCTTCAAGAAATTACCATGTGAAATGTGTTTTTGAAAAAGTAAAATTTTCCAAAGAAATACGGATTTTGCAATTAAACTCCGCCGCTGAATCCGCCAACGAATAAAAAAATTCATTACAATCGAGATAGGGTGGGTGGGTGGGGCTTATATTTTTCCATCTCTTCTTAATATACGTAGTCTTCTTTTCATAAGAAGAAACTTAAACATGTTCAAAATGTTTGTAGGGAAACATGTATTTTACAATTACGCTCCGCCCCTCGGTCTGACAACGAATAAAAAATTTATCATAATTGAGATCAGGACTTTTTTTAGTTACATATAGTTTTATTTGAACAACACGGTAGTTAAATGAGTTTTCAGTTTCTTTTTAGGAAAAGAATTCGTATATTAAAAAACAAATGTAGAAAATATAAGCCCCACCCACCCACCCACTCTCAATTGTGATGAATTTTTTATTCAGCGTGAGCCGAGTGTGGAGCTTAGCTGCAAAAACCTCATTTCTCTGCAAGAAATTACCATGTGAAATATGTTTTTGAAAGAGTAAAATTTTGCAAAGAAATACGGATTTTGCAATTAAACTTCGCCGCTGGGTCTATCAACAAATAAAAAAAAAATCATTACAACCGACATAGGGTGGGTGGGTGGGGCTTATATTTTGCCTCTTTTTCTTAATATACGTAGTCTTTTTTTCACAACAAGAAACTTAAACATGTTCAAAATTTTTGCAGGGAAATATGTTTTTGCAGTTACGCTCCGCCCCTCGGTCTGACGACGAATAAAAAAATTCATCATAATTGAGATTGGGACTTTTTTTTAGTTCCTACTAGTTTTAGTTGAACAACACGATAGCTAAATATATATTTAGTTTCTTGTTGGGAAAACAAGATTTCGTGTATTAAGAAAAAATGTAGAAAATATAAGCCCCGCCCACCCACCCCATCTCCATTGTGATAATTTTTTTATTAATCGTGAGCCGAGGGCGGAGCTTGGTTGCCAAAACCTCATTTCTCTACAAGAAATTACCATGTGAAATATGTTCTTGAAAGAGTAAAATTTTGCAAAGAAATATGCATTTTGTAATTAAACTCCGCTGCTAAACAACGAATAAAAAAATCATTACAACTGAGATAGGGTGGGTGGGTGGGGCTTATATTTTGCCCTTACTTCTTAATATACGTAGTCTTCTTTTCAGAACAAGAAACTTAAACATGTTTAAAATTTTTGTAGGAAAATAGGTATGTATTTTGCAATTACGCTCCTCCCCTCGGTCTGACAACGAATACAAAATTCACGATAGTTGAGATCGGGACTTTTTTTTTAGTTACATATAGTTTTAATTGAACAACACAATAGTTAAATATGTATTTAGTTTCTTGTTGGGAAAAGATTTCGTGTATTAAAAAAAAGTACGAAATATTAGCCCCGCCCACCCACCCCCTCTCAATTGTGATGAAACAAGTTAAATAGAACTGCTAATTTCCAGTTAATTCCACTGTTAAACTTTCTAAGAAAATTTCCATTTTTATTTTACTACAATTTTTGTCGTGATATTGTGTAACGTGATCAACAAGTGGGTAATAGAGAGGTGTAAGGTGTGGAACCGACTAATCGAAACCATTTTCATCAATCAATAATCAACGAAAAACTTCATCAACAAACCAACGCAGAACATCATAAACCAACAATTTCTTCTCTACAGTCAAATTGTTCAAATGTCAATGAAGCATAACTAGCGCCCTCATCAAAATGTGTCAAAATTCGGCAGACGGTGAAAATCCAGCCATAAACAAGTTGCCATGAATTGGTGGAAGTTCGAATTTGGCGCGCCGCCGGCGCCATGTTGCCCCCTCGGGCGAAGGTCGCACCTCAAAATCATACTCGAGATTTACGACATCGAAAATAATTTTTCGAAAGTTCGTCGCAGCCGTGACTCGTAGACTTATTTTTAAGTAATTGCAGTTCGTTCTTAAATTAGTTTGAATGCGGCGCCATTTCGGCGCGCATGCGCCCTCGAATTTCGCAGTCGCATTGCGTGCAGCGTAGCAGCTGTGCCAGTTGCGTCTGATTTTCAATAAATAACCAGGAAAATAATTACAAGGTAATTACTTGTAATTAGGCCTTGACCCCCGCGGCGAGCCGGGCGCGCCGAGCCCACTAACCAGCCCCCTCGTCACCCTTGTCGTGCTAAAATTACTTCTTCACTCAAAAGTTTTCACAATGAGTCACACGCTTTTTGTCCTTTTTACAGCTAAACTTTGGCATTGTGCGTGTTTCAGTTCAAAATTCGCAACTCCGAGAAGCGAAAATGTCTCTGGGCATCTCGTCCCGACTCAAACACCCCAAGAAGCACGAGCTGGTCAAGTCCCACAGTCAGGCCCAGATCCTGGCCAACAAGCTGCGGCAGGACGGCGTGCTAACGACAGGTAGGGAATCGGGCGAGTCCTGACCTGCCCCATTGATTGACGCCTTTATCTTATCTCGACGTTTCCAGTGGAAAATGTTCTGCAGGCCGTCGATCAGGTGGCAGCTCTGCTCGCTTCCAGCCTCACCGACCCCAACATCTCCTACAAGGACAGCATCATCAACTTGTGCCAGCACTTGAAGGTGAGGCAGGGTGCGGTCGGCGCATTTTCACTTCTCGGCTTGTAGGTGTATGGCGCCTATTTGGAGATCTTGTACAAGGAACAGTTGGATCACGCATTTAAAATTTTTCGGGACAAGGCCCAAGACGACATACGAGTTGATCTCCTTTCGCGATTACACTTGCTCGAACTGATCGAACTGAGAGCCAAGGGATGGAAGGGCACCGAAGTGATGAACCAGTATTACAGGAAGAAAGTCAACCAATATTCGCAGGTAGGGCCCCGGGGATGACGTCACGTGATGCGCACGTGACGACACCTTTTTTTTCAATTTTGTGTAAACATTCTAATCACGCGGTAACTAAGACGCAGTAGGCTTTGAACTACACCTAGTTTGACATTTACAACAAATTTTCAGTGTTTATTTGCAACAAAAAGGCATTAAGTGGGTAAATGATTCCATTTTTATTAAATCCAGCAACGCCATGTTTATATTTTGAAAAAAAAAGTGACAATAAATGACACTTCATGTCAGTCAACCCATTGTTCTAATGTACAGTACGTTGAAAAAGTGTAGGTGACACCATGTAACAAATTAAAAATGATAAAGTTAGCATTGGCAGCGACATCTAACGAGGAATATGTTTAGTCACAATTCGTCGTTTAAATTTTGACCAGTTGCCTCCCCCTAAATTCGCAGGTGGATCCGTCCGGATGGTTTTATGTTTACTGCGACGTATGATTGATCTGTTTTCCCATAAAGTACTTCTACTTTAGTCAGGTACTACATTACAGACGCATCAATGGAGTATATAATTAACACCTTCGCCTACTAGATTTCAAGATTTTGCGTTTTTTTTGCAGCTTCCAAGCTCATAAATGACAAAAATGTAAGTTTTCCGTTTATTTATCCCTCCCAGAAAGTCGATGTCGTCATCAAAAAAATTATTTGTAGATGTTTGTCAAAAAGTAGGCTTTGATGTCTCCCATTGTTGCTGTGCTTTCAAATTCGAATCTAAATACACGAGCTTTTTAAAAATTTGTTTGATGAATTTCCAACTATAAAGTCATACTTTAAAAATAAGCTCTAATGATCACCAGCGTTGTTTGTTTTAAAGAAAAAACAGAAGTTACTAAAATTGACACACTGAGTCTGTATCTAGAAAACACTGAGTCATTGAAAGCAGCTCGTAATTGACAAGCGGAACTCGACCAGGGACGTAGGTGTTTTTATTTTCAAAAGAATCGGTTTAAAGATCGAGCAAGTCTTTTGCACGCCATTGTAGATAGCCCGAAAACCACCACATGGCATGTGATCGAAAAAAAAAATCTAGTAGGCCGTGCAATTTATTACTTCGTGAGCGTAAGCGGAAGTATGATTTTCCGACCCCTAGAGTACGAAAAAATAAGTCCCTGTTTCCGTCTGTATGTCCGCCGTCTGTCCGTATTTTTATTAGAGGATATTCTCCAAAAGTACATGTATTAACCAAACTAACCAAAATTTGGCTATTCATATTTTAAATCAACTTTAGTAAATATTTAAATTTTATAAAATAAGATACTATTGCACGTGTGGTTTATGAATCCGTATTGAGTTTTTATCCTAGACAACAGATTTTTAGAAAAAAAATCAAAATTGTATAACGTTTTAAGGTTATGTGAGCATGGTAACTCGTTAATCAAAATTTTTTCGTCTATGTCCCCCCCAATAAAATGATGACGTCAATTTATAATTTTGACAAATAGATTTTATAATATTAGATATTCCTGCATTTTTACCCTAGATTTCCAGATTTCGGAAAAAAAAATTAAAATTGTATTTTTCAATTTAAATCTTGAAATAAATGGTGAATCAAAATTTATTCGTTTATGGCCTCCCCAAAAATGATGGCGTCATCTTACAGTTCTGCCAAATAAATGTTTTTACATATTTTAGAAAATAACATACTCCTGTATGTGTGATTCATGAATCCGTGTTAAGTTTTTACCTTTCGCATTCAGATTTTTGGGAGAAAAATCAAAATTGTGTTATAGTATTTAACAATTTAACTTTGAAATTGCAAACATTGAATGCTGTGAAATCTTACAAATATTTTAAAGTTACTGGAAGCGTGGTAAATCGTTGATCAAAATTTGTTCGTCATGTTAAAATGTTGTCGAATAAATGTTTTTCAAATGTATGACTATTTTTGTAAAAAAAAATTAGTTCTATCTTCTGTGTAGAGGAGACAAAATCAATCAAATTTTATTTTCTTTTAATCACTAATGCTTGTAATCTAAACGTACATACTTAGTTGAATTATTTTAAAGTATAAACAGTCGAAGTTAAGCATGTACTGAGAAGTTGAGAATATCTAGATTTTTACGTCCCGAGCGTACGCTAATCGAGTACGAAAAAAGTAGTCTCTCGTTTCCGTCCGTCTGTCGGTCTATCTGTCTGTCTGGTGTCTGTATTGATTGTTGTGAAAGTTTGTATGTATATTAGAAATATCATGTAGATGGTTAAATGCTAACCAATATTTTGCTAGTCATCCCCACCACCAATTTGATGACGTCATTTCAAAGAATTCTATGTTTATTTGATTAACGGTTACACAACAATGTAGTCCTAAAAGTGTGGTGTACGAATCCATTTTGAGTTTTTCCCTAATCGTCCAAATTTTTGCAAAAACATAATGCACGGTATAATAACAGTTTAGCGTTAAGGCATCCCTGTCGTAGTTTAGTGGTTACGAGTCAGGAATGCGGACCGGACGCGCGTTGGCCTTTCGTTTTTTTAAGAATGTGAAACCATCTCGGGGGTCCCAACTGTCATGTAAAATCTTCTCGAGGGCGCCAAATGTTTTTTTTCTAAGTGAAATCTTCTCTGGGCTCCCAACTGGCTTTTTTAAAATGTAAAACCTTCTCAGGGGTCCCATAAACTGTCATTTTTAAAAATGTAAAACCTTCTGGGGGGTCCCCAAATGGATTTTTCTAAGAATCTGAAACCTTGGGGGCGCCAAATGCCTTTTTTTTAATGTGAAACCTTCTCAAGGATCCCAACTGTCTTTTTTAAAAATGTAAAACCTTCTCGGGGGTCCCAAAATGTATTTTTTCTAAGAATGTAAAATTGTAAAACCTTCTCTGGGTCCCAGATGTATTTTTTTTATGTGAAATCTTTTTGGGGCATCAAATGGATTTTTTTAACAATGTGAAACCTTCTCGGGGGCGCCAAATGTATTTTTTTTAATGTGAAACCTCAGGGATCCCAACTGTATTTTTGGAAAATGTAAAACCTTCTCAAGGGTCCCAAAAACTGTGATTTTTAAAAATGTAAAACCTTCTCGAGGATCCCAAAATGTATTTTTTTTTAATGTGAAATCTCGGGGCTCCCAACTGGCTTTTTTAAAATTGTAAAACCTTCTCGGGGCCGCCAAATGTCTTTTTTTTTTTAATGTGAAGCCTTCTCAGGGATCCCAACTGTCTTCTTTGAAAATGTAAAACCTCAAGGGTCCCAAAAACTGTCATTTTTAAAAATGTAAAACTTTCTCGGGGGTCCCAAAATGTATTTTTTTTTTTTAATGTGAAACCTTCTCAGGGATCCCAACTGTCTTTGTTGAAATGTAAAACCTTCTCAGGGGCCCCAAAATGTATTTTTTTTAATGTGAAATCTTCTCGGGGCTCCCAACTGGCTTTTTTAAAATTGTAAAACCTTCTCGGGGCCGCCAAACGTCTTTTTTTTTAATGTGAAACCTTCTCAGGGATCCCAACTGTCTTTTGAAAATGTAAAACCTTCTCAAGGGTCCCAAAAACTGTCATTTTTAAAAATGTAAAACCTCGGGGGTCCCAAAATGTATTTTTTTTAATGTGAAACCTTCTCAGGGATCCCAACTGTCTTTTTTAAAAATGTAAAACCTTCTCAGGGGTCCCAAAATGTATTTTTTTTAATGTGAAATCTTCTCGGGGCTCCCAACTGGCTTTTTTAAAATTGTAAAACCTTCTCGGGGCCGCCAAATGTCTTTTTTTTTTAATGTGAAACCTCAGGGATCCCAACTGTCTTTTGAAAATGTAAAACCTTCTCAAGGGTTCCAAAATGTATTTTTTTAATATGAAATCTTCTCGGGGCTCCCAACTGGCTTTTTTAAAATTGTAAAACCTTCTCGGGGCTGCCAAATGTCTTTTTTTTAATGTGAAACTTTCTCAGGGATCCCAACTGTCTTTTTTGAAAATTTAAAACCTTCTCAAGGGTCCCAAAAACTGTCATTTTTAAAATTGTAAAACCTTCTCGGGGCCGCCAAATGTCTTTTTTTTTAATGTGAAACCTTCTCAGGGATCCCAACTGTCTTTTTTAAAAATGTAAAACCTTCTCAGGGGTCCCAAAATGTCTTTTTTTTAATGTGAAACTTTCTCAGGGATCCCAACTGTCTTTTTTGAAAATTTAAAACCTTCTCAAGGGTCCCAAAAACTGTCATTTTTAAAATTGTAAAACCTTCTCGGGGCCGCCAAATGTCTTTTTTTTTAATGTGAAACCTTCTCAGGGATCCCAACTGTCTTTTTTAAAAATGTAAAACCTTCTCAGGGGTCCCAAAATGTATTTTTTTTAATGTGAAATCTTCTCGGGGCTCCCAACTGGCTTTTTTAAAATTGTAAAACCTTCTCGGGGCCACCAAATGTCTTTTTTTTTTAATGTGAAACCTCAGGGATCCCAACTGTCTTTTGAAAATGTAAAACCTTCTCAAGGGTCCCAAAAACTGTCATTTTTAAAAATGTAAAACCTTCTGGGGGTCCCAAAATGTATTTTTTTTAATGTGAAACCTTCTCAGGGATCCCAACTGTCTTTGTTGAAAATGTAAAACCTTCTCAGGGATCCCAACTGTCTTTTGAAAATGTAAAACCTTCTTAAGGGTCCCAAAAACTGTCATTTTTAAAAATGTAAAACCTCGGAGGTCCCAAAATGTATTTTTTTTTTTTAATGTGAAATCTCAGGGATCCCAACTGTCTTTTTTGAAAATGTAAAACCTTCTCAGGGGTCCCAAAATGTATTTTTTTTTAATGTGAAATCTTCTCGGGGCTCCCAACTGGCTTTTTTAAAATTATAAAACCTTCTCGGGGCCGCCAAATGTCTTTTTTTTTAATGTGAAACCTCAGGGATCCCAACTGTCTTTTGAAAATGTAAAACCTTCTCAAGGGTCCCAAAAACTGTCATTTTTAAAAATGTAAAACCTTCTTGGGGGTCCCAAAATGTATTTTTTTTAATGTGAAATCTCAGGGATCCCAACTGTCTTTTTTGAAAATGTAAAACCTTCTAAGGGGTCCCAAAATGTATTTTTTTTATGTGAAATCTTCTCGGGGCTCCCAACTGGCTTTTTTAAAATTGTAAAACCTTCTCGGGGCCGCCAAATGTCTTTTTTTTTTAATGTGAAACTTTCTCAGGGATCCCAACTGTCTTTTTTGCAAATTTAAAACCTTCTCAAGGGTCCCAAAAACTATCATTTTTTAAAATGTAAAACCTCGGGAGTCCCAAAATGTATTTTTTCTAAGAATGTAAAACCTTCTCGGGGGTCCTAAAATGTATTTTTTCTAAGAATGTAAAACCTTCTCGAGGGTCCCAACTGTCTTTAAAAATGTAAAACCTTGTCTGGGTCCCAAAAACTGTCATTTTTAAAAATTTAAAACCTTCTCGGGGGTCCCAAAATGTATTTTTTCTAAGAATGTAAAACCTCGGGGGCCCAACTGTCTTTTTTAAAAAAGAAAACCTTCTCGGGGGCCTAAATGTATTTTTTAAGAATGTGAAATCTTCTCATGGGTCCCAAAAACTGCCATTTTTAAAAATGTAAAACCTTCTCGGGCCCCCCAAATGTATTTTTTTTAAGAATGTGAAACGTCGGGAGTCCCAACTATTTTTTAAGAATATTGCTTTTTACTTCATAGTGGTTATCACAAAACGAGAATTGCAAAAGCAAATTTTATATTATAATTTTTTAAAAAGCGGGATTTGTCGGACGAGGGAAGTTCCGTGGAATAATCTTGAATGATTTTTTTTTTTTTTAATAATAATAATGACATTGCGAATACATATTTGATCTTTTATTTGTCCGTAACTGTCAAACTGACAAGTGTGCTGCCAACATCATTATTTTAAACATAAATTGCACTGCTTACTAGAGAAGTTTTTTTTTTTTTTTCGATCATTTGATAAAGTGGATTCGCCAGATCGCAAGTTCATTGTTGTCCGTTTTTACAGTGATGTATCCTTATCGCAGACGTAGTTCTTTTAAAAAAATGTTGCGCAAACATTTATCCGACAGGATTGCTCTAGCTCTAAGGACTCGGGCGGTTGCCGTAAACGTGTGTATTGCGCGAAAACTAGTTCCTGGAGCGCACGATGTGAGGCGAACCCTTTGCCCTTTTCAGATTGATATGTCCGATTCCGCCACGAGCCTAAGCGACTCCATGTGTTCAATGTCGGTGTCCACGTCTCCGCCTCTCCTGGGACCCGGTGAAGTTCTCAAACCCTCAGGAAAGTTCTCCAAACCGACGAGAATACCGGGTAAGAAGTACTGTAAGGATGAGGTGGTCATCCGGAACGCAGACTCCGGTAAAGGTGAGTCTTCACAATCCCGACCTTCCCGAAACACCGATTCGATTGGGGTTTGTTCAAAAATCGATTTTTGTATTTATAGTAATGGGTATCAAAGGAAGGCGTGTTCATATGATCGAAGAACTTAGCGAAACGATCATTTCGTTTCAGCGAGGTAACGCTTCACAACACAATGCTCGCTTGTCTTTTTTTAACGAGTTACTTCGCACTAAATCTGTGTTTTAATCGTTTTGTTTAACTTGAGAGATTTAACTAATAGTCACCAGAGGTAGAGCCGATCGACAACCGTCGGTCGTAAGTTGAGTTTTGATTGGTTGTGGCCACTTGGCGTTGTCGATCGGCTGGATAGTGCTTGATCGTCACCATTCATCTATTAGACGTAATCCTCTAAACCAGGGCATGAGTAATCCCATCGTATGTGTGCGTTTTGTTTTTGAGTCGTCTTTCTCGATTAGTGACAGGAATGGCTTGTTTTTGAGTTTTGTGAGTTCGGTTTTGATTTGTGCTTCACTTGCAGTCAATCCTGGTGCGAAGGAGAGACTGGTTCAGATAACGGGGGCGAACGAAGAAAGCATCAAGTGAGTTGCGTTTTTTGGGGATTTTTCGTTGCTGACGGTGTGCTTGCAGCCATGCTAAGCAGCTGATCGAAGACACGATCCGACGAAACGCCTCACCTGTTCGAGAACACGAAATGGCAGTCGGTGGTCCTTTAACGGGCTCCAGTTCTAGTATCAACTCTTCTGCTTCTGACGATAGTGCTTTGCCATCGTCAGCCAGAGCATCGAGAGCTTTAATGCACAGTTTGAGCACAAACGACGCCACAATCGGCGAATACAAATACAGTGTAGTGACCGGTGGCTACACGATCAAGATCACCGGCGATAACCTCGACTTAGTTCGAGTAAGTCGCGCATGCGCGCCACGACGCCTTTAAACGATTTGCTTCCAGACGAGCAAATTGGTCCTGGAGGAGTATTTCTCAGGGGAACCAATACACGAACAATTTTATAGCTTCGATAGTCTGCCGCAGCCTATTGTGGCGGGAGTAGAGGACGGACCCCTGTCCCCACCCGAATCCATCCCCTCTCCCGGCGTCATCACCAACGGCCAGACCGAGGAGACAGGTAAAGGTTAGTGATGCCTCACACTGTACCATGTAGTCATTGTGTATACTGGGATTGAAATAAATAATTTCGTTTTTACGCACTCTTTCGATTTAACTCCTCCGACGGGGGCGCCGGCGACGTCATCCAGCTGCAAAATTCCAAATGATTCACCCTGACTCAGTTGCTGCGCTAATTTTACAGCTCGATGATTTCATCTCGTTTAATCGGGCTTGGGCCCCCTCCTTGCTAACAGCGACTCTGTTTAGATGGAAGGGTGAAACTGCGCAAACCCCATATGCCAATCGAAGACATAATCAAGGGTAAGACGTCGTCGTCGTCGTCGTCGTCGAGCGACCAAACAAACAAGTCCGCCCTGGTGTATACAATCGAATTTCTGGCCCACCTGGCCATGTCGCCGCTGTGTCTGGGGGCGCCGACCGACTGGGAGCGAATCTCGAGAGACTACCCCTTCTTAATCCGCAACGTGAGTATCGCAGTCAGTTTAGCCGGAATTGATCACAACTACTTTTTTTTACAGACTGGGGATACGTTCGACGCCAAACAGTATCTGTCCACGCGCACAGGTGAACCGACTTGCGTCCTAAGCGCCGACGATGTCGATTCGGCGGACGTTTGACGCAAATGATAGTTACGAGTTTTAATGAAGCAATTTTCGGTTTCTTTCCTACGAGGTCAAGTTTATTTTCTTCGGGCTCAATATCTTTATTAACTTAGGGTAGCGAACAAAGGGAAATATAAAAAGTTTTATACTCTATGGATAGTTGCCTATTTTTCGTATACAGTTTGTAACAATTTTTTAAAAAAACGTTTGATGTGTTGTTTTGTGACAAGAGTTTAAAGCTGTTGGTTTAGTAGAGGAATATCTATTAACTTTACTTAAGATTAAAACACAAAAAAATAAGACTACTTATTTTTAGTTAATGTGACTGACTTTACTAATAATCTCTTAGCGAAAATCATCTCAGACTATTTATGTTATTTATTCTTGTGATCATCTAGATTCATGTAAGGAGCGTTCATGTGAGAAGCTGTAGTCTGGCATAGATTTATGGAAGTAGTGATATCTGTAATGATTTGTCAGCTGGAGTTTATTGATGGTATGATACTCATTCATCGAGTACGGTTTTCTATATATTTTTATGTAGGTTTTCTCGTTAAGCATTTTTCTTATGTTTTATTTAACTTTTGTAACTGATCTGGTCATACGCGACTGTTACCTGTAACGTGAAAGTATTTTGTTTTTTGTTTTGTTTTATATACATTTTTGTTTATGCTAAAGAAATTTAAATGTTAATTAGTTATGCTTCATGTTTAATAAAGTTTATCAAAGAATTTAACATTTTCTATCTGACTTTATTTCAGACACCCACAGCGATCACGTGACACCTGTCACTGCAGGCGTGGCAACGTTGCAGACGTTCCGGCAACAACGCCCTTTATTCAATTTTTATTATTAATCGAATTTGTAATAACAATAAAATAACGAATAAAGCAAAGATTATTAAATTAAATAAATTGAATAAGAATCAATGGGAGACATTTCCGACTTACTGTCAAAGTACTCAAATTTGGTGCCGTTTTTTAATAAAGTCGTGCGCTTGCTTTTAAATGGTCTATAACTGAGTGTCTTCACGTCTGCAAGGGTTTCAGCGCCAGTTAAGCCCCAATTAAATCCAAAAAAGTCAAAAACGGGGTTATGGAGGTCCAACGAGACGGCGACCGTCCCGTCCAGTAGGCCGTGCTTTCCTGTCACACTGTCACGTCAAATGTCAACGTTGTGACGTGCCGCTTTTTCCGTTTTTCGTTTTGGCTTTTTTGCGATTTCTTTTCCTCATTTAAAAGTTCGCGCATAATTTTTCATCCGCGCTGTACAGCCCTGTCACAAACATTACCCCCACCCTTCCAATATCGTTGATCAAAAAAGCTCCCTTCAATATAAAAGTTGTGCACGTGCCGGGCTCATTTTATTAAATTTAAGTGTTGTTATGTATTTTTAAGTACCAAAAGCCGCGCATCAAAATGGTTCAGGTGCGTATTTAGCGGTTTGCGGGCCAACGGGCGCTCGAAACGGCCGGAAAAAGCGATTTCGCACCCGTAAAAACTACCCTCGATTTTTTCTGTCAAGCTTTTGATATAAAAGATGGCGAACAGATTTTTATGCAAATGGACCCCATTTTTCATCTCGGCGAGAATTAATAATTTTCGGGGGCGCGATCGCGGCTTGGAATAACAAACGTGGCATGGACCTAACCTTAAAATCGCGAAAAAGAGTGTTTGTTGATGGATTTTTGGGTTTCAGGCTCCCGATATTAATATTGGGCACCGGGACTTGCCCCAGGCGCTCATTTTGTTGAACGAGATGAACGTGAGTGCACAACACGTTGCTTCGTTGGTCGACAACATGATCCAGAAGGTGCGAAAGGGGGAACTATCGACGGACCAGGGGCTTAGTTTTCTAGAAATGAAGTACAACATGTTGTTGAGTTACTTGATTAACTTGACTTTCGTGGTTTTGCGGAAGTGCTCTGGGGAGAAAATTGAAGGCGACCCGTGTATTGATAGACTTATTGAAATTCGAACAGTATTGGAAAAAATTAGACCCATTGATCACAAACTTAAGTATCAAATTGATAAACTCGTCAAGACTGCCGTTACGGGAACCAATGCGAACGACCCGACTACGTTTAAAGCCAACCCTGACAATCTCATCGACGAGGAGAGCGATGAGGAGCCTGATAGGGAGAAGGAGAAGAGCGACATTTACGTACCGCCGAAACTGTCAGCGGTTCATTATACCGGTAAGTTTGGGTTTGGGTTTAGTTGGTCATGGTGTCACTACATTGTGGATTTTATAGGTGATGAAAGCGCGCAAGAGCGCGCCAAGCGGCTGCAAGAACGCACCAAGAAGCACATGCTGTCAACGTCAATCATGCAAGACTTGAAGGAGGAGTACTTGGACACGCCTGTGGAGGTGTCACAGACCAGCCGCGCCCAGCAAATCCTGTCCAAGCAACAAAAGGAGCGGGAGGAGTACGAGGAGGAGTACATGACGCGGCTGCCCGTCAGCAAATCAGAGAAGCACAAGCGGCGTCAGCTGACCACGTTGGGCAGTCTGGGGGACGAGATTACCGACTTTGGCCCCTCCCCTAGTTCTAGTAAACGGAAAAGGAAACGTCCAGTCAAATCAAAAGGGAAAAATTTCAAAAGGAAACGTTATCATTGATATCAGTATTTACTGGTTTACAATTAAATCAAGAGCTTGAAACCCCAGTTGCCTATGGTGACCTTATGATTTTTGAATGTTTTCTCATTGTAAAAGAAATTCAAAATTGTGTAGATTATTAGGGTTAATGGTTGTGTTCTTTGTTTTTGTGTATTAGACATTTGGCATGCACTTTGGATGTTCGTTCGATTTTGAGTTGGTTTATTGGTTATCGTCGTAATATAGACTGAAAGTATTTTTACAAATGTTATCAAAACTGTTGCTCTACATTCTCATTGAGGAGTAAATATTTTACATGAGACACTTTTTCACGCTGGAATTGTGTGAAATGTTGAATACAGTAATGGAAATGGTAAATTTTTGTACTTTAACGTAGTTTCTCGAATATTTTCTAGGGCTTGTATTAAATCACGGAACTGCGTTAAGTACGTTCCCAATTGCCTTGTACAGGTTATATTGTTGTTAACGTTAACCACAGTTTATTTTCAGACTGGATTATCGGTTGTTGAATAATTAAATCTACAATTACAGTTTCAGTTTTCATTGTTAACATTCTTTTTATTGTTATTTTTGTTACGTTGCGTTTACAATGTTACTACTTCTCTTGGCGTTTTTGTCTCGTCTTGTGTTTTAGTTGTAGTGATATGTTATTAATCTAGATATTAAACAAAAAAAAAATGTATTCAGTAGCTCATGTCCTTTGGTGTACTCGTATTTCGTAGAATGTTTAGGTATGCTACTGAAATTGACAAAAATTCTCAGCTCAAAAAAATTAATAATGTATCGTCATAGGTTATAAGTTTATGGCTTTAATCAGTTAATTACTTTTCATTTGTAGACATGAATTTTTTAATATATATTTTTTTCTTATTTCGGCACTGTGGTGTATTCACCCGTCATGGGGTTAAATGAAACCCCGCGAAAACCCTTATGTTTACGCATCTGGCACGTCACTGCGTGAAAGTCCTCATTGTAGAACTTCTCATCACTGAGGTCGGGTATTTCGTGGCGAAACTTATGGTTTTGCATGAAAGGGATTTTCGGAAAAGCCAGCTAAAACGAATCCAATCCTACAAAACACACTATCACCAAAAAAATACGTACTCTTTGTATGACGTAGGGTTTCGGCATTTGATAACTGTGTTGCATGGTGGTGCTAAAGTCACTTGCGCAAAGATCCGGACACGGATTTGGTTTGTCTCCAGGCACGCAGTCGTGCTGACTACAATAAACAAAAATTAAAAACCCGCCACTCCTACAGGGTCCTACCCCCCGTAACAGTAAGTGTAGAAGTTCCCCATGCGTTTCTTCGGACTCCCTTTCTTTGTCAGGAACCTCTGTTCCAACATATCCTGGGTCGTAGTCCTGTAGGAACCGTCCTTGTCAGTCCCCAATCTGTGATAATGACTCACAAAGTAGTTGACTTTTCCTTGACAGAACGGATCCACGTCTATCGGGTTGTGCTCCTGCAGCTCGTGCCAATGCTCCACTTTGACCCCATCCGAGTACGCGTTCTTGGTGTAGAGGATCTTGGGCTTGCGGCCGTGCGTCGGGCGCCGCTCCGGCTCTTCCAGTCTAAACGGGGGCATCCCGATTCAAATTTGGCGCGCTTGCGCGTAGATTGGCAACATGTTGATTTAGGTTGGTAGCCCGGCAACGTCTGAGTAACGTGAACTTGTTCTAGAATGTCGCCATTTTGCCGTGTAGAATTTCGTTGAGTTTTGACGAATTCAGTAGCCAGTTTTTCCAATTCTGCGCGATTTTAACAATTTCCCAAGGTAATTAAAGTGACTGAAGGCGAAAATGGCCGAGGATCTCGACGTGGAGGCTATGCTGGAAGCCCCCTATAAGAAAGATGTAAGTACTGTTTATTAATAGGCTCATAAATTTTGTGAGTTTAATTGACCGTTGGCAGTGTAAATTGTGGGGTTTGAGCGCGCGAGAGGGCAGCCCCACAGTATGCACTGTTTTGTATTTTTGTTGAATTATGTATGTTATGGCTCTTACATCACTTCCTAATTTTATATTTTAGACGTATGAGGTTTATTTCGGGCTAACGACGCCTTCACGTAAACAACTCAGGTACTGAATATCCTAGGTTAAGTCTATATTTACATATTTAGGGTGTTACTTATTATTTTGATAATGTAGGTCGGTCCCCGTTGGCTAAATAACCCGTCGAGCGGATGTTCATGTTCAGCTAATCAAAAATAGTGGAGTTTTTAAGGCGAGGGTCACGTCTGAATCACGACGAACCGTGGCGGGAGTTTCAAATGCGGCCCTCGAGCCCAAAATAAAGTCGCTGGGTTTTTTAGCCAACGGCTGCAGCATCGTAACTTAGCTTAATTTTCGTGGTTCATATACTATTGTTGGTTTTTGTATGTCGTGTTGCTGATCGGTACTTTCTCGCCATAGGGCTGCTGAATGGACTTCCCGCAATCACCGTCCTGACTCCTACCAATCACCCGATTGGTAAACGCCTCTTTTAGTATGACACAAAGGTGGACTTGTTGGAATGTAAAACCAAAGTACATACATGTTTTTTTATAACAAAATAAAGTCATAGTCATTGATAAAAAGCGGTCGTTGGGTCTTGGCTGTGAGCACTGAACGTAATTTTTGCACGTTTTCGTTGCTAGTTTTCGTTTTGTTTTTGTGTTGTGATTGGCCAAGGCCCAACTCAGTCGGCCTAAATTTGACAACATTGCAATGTTGATTGCATGTCAGTCAAGCAATGAGTGAAGGATATGGTCTTATTCGGTGTATTTTTTCAGAAGTATTGATCTGGATCAAGTTTTTCCGCCACGTTCCTTTGTTAAGTCTGCACGACGGTAAGTCTAGTTCCGGCTAGACGACTGTTAAGTTTCAGCTACGGGAAATTAAAACGGCGACACACCCCTCATTTGTTTTAGATATAGGCTAACGAACTATGAACTACTTAAGTCATTCAACGACGTCGACGGTGACGTTTTTGCGACAGACGGCGGCGCGCCTTTTCAATTGCCGGAGCGTTGCAAAAACGTCAACGTGGACGCTAAAAATTGTAAAACGTTACTTGATTATAAATATGTCTGTTTTTGAAATCAAATGGTAAGTTCACACTAATAATACACAAATCATTAATGCTATCTGTTTTCGCCACCTGCGCGGTCCTCTTCACTTTGTTGCTGTTCGTAGGAAGAAGTCAATGGCAAAATCAAAGAGAATGGAGAATCAAAGAAACACAGGAGCTCAGAGTAAGTAGATACATTCACACACCATATTACTATATACACACGTTATACGTCATTACAACGTTTGGTGACTAATCTGAAGCAAAAACAATTAATTTTTATCTATAAAAAAATCGTATTTACCAATTATTATCCACTGAAACAAAAATTCTTCAATAATGCATTAATTAATTATTTTTTACTTCCAAACGAGGTCCTTAGAATATGGAAAAGTAGGTCTCTCGTTACAGTCCGTCTGTCACTTCTTGGCAATTTTATTAGACATGATCTCGGAAACTACTTTACTGATTCTTGTGAAATTTTACATTTATTTTAGGAATATTGTATAGGTGGCAGTCGAAAGTGCCAATTAAAAGTTATCTGATCATCCCCACCAGCCATTTGATGACGTCATCTCCAAATTTTGGTAAATCCTACTTAAATTTTACAAAATAACATGCTTCTGTAAGATATCTAGATTTTTGTCAAACAATTAAAATTATAAACAAAATTTTGCCCGTTAATTTAGCAATTATAACATCCACTGCTTCGAAATCTTCCAAATGTTTTAAGGTTCTTATAAGTCGCTGTTCAAAATTTTTTGGTCGTCCCTTTGAAAAACTCGATGACGTCGGCGCAAAATTGCTGAGTAAATCGTGTGTAAAATGCACAAAATAGTAGGGATCTACATTTGTGGTTTTAATAAATTTTTTTCATCCAATTTTGTCACCTTGTGGATTTTTATCGCACTTTTTGGGTATATTTTGTAGCTTTTATCACTTTTTTTGCCTTTTTTTTCTTCACAATTTTAGTCTTGTCGCTTTTTTGCGGATTCTTTTGTCGTTTTTTGTAGTTTATTTTGGATTCTTTATATTTGTCGGATTTCTTTGTGTCTTATTACATACTTACATTTTTGTGGCCTCTTTTGTTGCTTTGTTTTCGTGGCTTTCTTAACTTCCTTTTACTTGTAGCATTCTTTTTGTTGTTCGTTTTTGTCTTTTTGTGTTCCTTTTTATCGTTTTCGTTGGTCACATTTTCGTGTTACCCTAGTTTGTGGTCTTTTTGGTCTGTTTTTATGACTCCTGAGTTTTTTAATTTGTAGATAGAACTTTTTGCTGGTTTTTTTTCGTTGGTCGCTTTTTTATCCGTTTTTTTTTGTTTTGTTCTGGATTTCTTTTTCTTTATAATTTTTTAATGGCATATTTTTGGCTTTTTTTGTTGTCACGTTTTTTGTGGCCGTTTGTCTCTTTTTTGTGGTCTTTTTTTTGTTGAATTTCACTCTCCACTCCCATTTTTATACCCCGCCTTTTTGATTGGTTTTGTCTTTTTTGACGCTTTTTTAACTTTTTTTCTCTCTTCTTTACTGCTTTTTGATCCCCTACTTTTCTCTTTTTTGATTTTTTGACTATTTTTGATCCTCTTTTCTACTCTTTGGCTGTCTTTGACTCCTCCTTTTTAACTCCATTTTGACTCTCTTTTTCACTCCCCCTTCTTGACTCTTTCTGATTTTCTATTGTTGACTCTTTTTGACTCTCGTTCACTCTCTTTTTGATTCTCTTTCACTTTCTTTTTGACTCTCGTTCACTTTCTTTTTGACTTTTTCATTCTTTTGTTTTACCTCTGACTCTTTTTGACTCCCCCCCCCTCCTCTTTGACTCCCTCCTTTTGACCCCCTTTGACTCCCTCTTTTTGATTCTCTTTTTTGACTCTTTGGACTTCCTTTTTCATTCCCCCTTCTTGACTTCCTTTTTCATTCCCCCTTCTTGACTTCCTTTTTCATTCCCCCTTCTTGACTTCCTTTTTCATTCCTCTTTCTTGACTCCCTTTTTCATTTTTTTTCACCCTCTTTGACTCCCCCTGATTCTTTTTCTGACTCGTTCTGACTTTTTTGACTCTTGACTCTTTCAATCCCCTTTTTTGACTCCTTTTGATTTTCTTTTTTTGACTTTCTGACTCTCTTTGACTTTTTTTGACCCTCCCTTTTTGGCTCTCTTTGACTTCCCCTTTTTGACTCTATTTGTGACTACATATCTCGTTTTGACTGTATTTCTCTTTGACTCTCTTTTTCACTCCCCCTTGAGTTATGATTTGCTTTAGTTGACTCTTTTTGACTGTCTTTCACTGTCTTTTTGACTCTCTCTTAGACACTCTTTTTGACTCTCTCTGACTCTTTGACTCGCTCTTTCTGACTGTCTTTTTTTACTTTCTATCTCTGACTCCCTCTTTTACTCCCGTTTTTTCTGCCTTTTCTGGTGTTTTTTTTACTTTCTCTATTTGACTTTCTCTTTTCGACACTCTTTGACTCTCTTTTGGACACTCTGACTCTCCCTTTGACTCTCTTCCTTTGACTCTCCCTTTGACTCTCTTCTTTTGACTCTCCCTTTGACTCTCTTCCTTTGACTCTCCCTTTGACTCTCTTCCTTTGACTCTCCCTTTGACTCTTTTCCTTTGACTCTCCCTTTGACTCCCTCTCTTTGACTGTCTCTGACTCTTTTTTTAACTCTCTTTTTTGACTTTTGACTCCTCCCTTTTTCACTCCCCCTTCTTGACTCCCTTTTTGACTGTCTCTTTAACTGTCTCTTTGACTGATCTCTTTTTGACTCCCTCTTTGACTCCCTCTTTGACTCCCTCTTTGACTCTCTTTAACTCCCTCTTTGACTCTCTTTAACTCTCTCTTTTTGACTCTTTCACTCCCTCTCTTTTACTCTCTTTTGGCTCTCTTTGACTCCGCCTGACTTTTTCTGACTCTTTCTGACTGACTCTCTTTTTCACTCTTTCACTCCCCCCTTTTGACTGTCTTTTTGATTTTAACTCTGTTTTTGACTCTTTGACTCCCTCTTTTTGACTGTTTTTTTTTTACTCTCTTTGACTCTGACGTTCTCTTTTTGAGTCTTTTTTTAACCTTCTCTTTCTGACTCTGACCCTCTCGTTTTGATTTTCTTTCACTCCTCCTTTTTGACTTTTTTTTTTACTTTCTCTTTGACTCACTTTTTGACTGTTTTTGACTTTCACTTTTTGACTGTTTTTGACTTTCACTTTTTGACTGTTTTTGACTCTCTTTCTGACTCCCTCTTTCTGACTCTCTTCCTGACTCCTTCTTTCGGACTTTCTTTTTGACTTTCTGACTCTCTTTTTGAGTCTTTCTTTCTGACTCTGACTCTCTTTTTGACTCTTGACTTTTTCACTCCCCCTTTTTAACTATTTTTGATTTTGACTGTTTTTTGACTGTTCATGACTCTTTTTTTGACCGTATTTGACTCTCTCTTTTTGACTTTTTCTTTTACTTTCTCTTTTTGACCCTCTCTTTTTTTCCCCCTCTCTTTTTTGACCCTCTCTTTTTGTCTGTGTCTTTTTAACCCTCTCTTTTTGTCTGTGTCTTTTTGACCCTGACTCTCTTTCTGACTCCCTGATTCTTCTTTACTGTCTTCTTTGAGTATTTCGACTCTTTCACTCCCCTTTTTTGACTCTCTTTGTGATTTTCTTTTTTTTTTGACTCTGACACTGTTTTTGACTCTCTTTGACTTTCTCTTTTTGACTCTTTGACTTTCTCTTTTTGACTCTCTCTTTGACTTTGTCTTTTGTCTCTCTCTTTGACTTTCTCTTTTTGACTCTCTTTGACTTTCTCTTTTTGACTCTCTTTTTTACTCTCTCTTTTTGATCCTCTCTTTGACACTCTCTTTTGGACTCTCTTTGACACTCTCTTTTTGACTCTCTCTTTTTGACTCTCTTTTTGACTCTCTTTGACACTCTCTTTTTGACTCTCTTTGACACTCTCTTTTTGACTTCTTTGACTCTTTCTTTCTGACTGTCTTTTTTATTTTCTCTTTCTGACTCCCTTTTTTACTTTGGTTTTTTCTGCCTTTTCAGGTGTTTTTTTTACCTTCTCTATTTGACTTTCTAGTTTTAACTTTCTCTTTTTGACCCTCTCTCTTTGACTTTCTCTTTTTGACTCTGACTCTCTGACTCTCTTTGACTCGCTCTTTCTGAACCTCTTTCTGACTTTCTTTTTGATTCTCTCTCTGTGACTCTTTCTTTTTTACTCCCGTTTTTGCTGCCTTTTCTGGTGTTTTTTTTTATCGCTTTTTGGGGCCTTTTTGTATCGCATTTTTTGTATCCTTTTTTTGTCACATTGTGTTTTTTTCTGTTTCTCTTTTTGTTGTTTTTTTGTGGCGTCCTTGACTTTCTTTTATTTGTCGCATTTTTTGTCATTTTTGTCTCTGAATTTTATCGCGTTTTTTGTCGTTTCTTCCTTTGCTTTTTTTGTTGTCTTTGGTCGCATTCGTGTATTTTATGGTCCCTTTTTTCCTGTCAATTTTTTTGCTCGCATTTTTGTGGCCGTTTTTTTTTGACTCTTTCTAAATTTGGGAACAAAGAAGTTTTGTATTTTCCCCCTTTTTATCGCTTTTTTTTGTTTCTCGGTTTGTTTTATTGCCTTTTTTGTAACTTGTTTCCGGCTTTCTTCGTAGTTTTGGACTTAATTTTTTTGTGGCTTTTTGGCCACTTGACCTGACCTGACATGACATGACCGACTTCCCTTTTTATCGTATTTTTTAATTATTTTTAAGCTTTTTTGTAATCTTTTTATTGTGCCTCTTGAATTTTATCGAATTTCCATGTTCAAAAGGCTCTAATGAAAGAGAAAATAGTGTATTTAAAATTGCCAAACTACAAAGTGCAATTATAAAAAAAAAAAGGTAGAAAACTTCTTACTTTGGTAATCTTCACGATATTTTTTCATTTCATCGCAACACACATAACACACACAGTCATCCACCACGCACCAAAAACCTCAAAACTCACCACCCTCCCATTCCAGTAAGAAGCGCCGCAGCAACAGCCGGAACCGCCGCAGCCGCAGCCGATCACGCGACAAACGCCGCAGCCGCGACAAGGACCGCCGAAGAAGCCGAAGCCGCGACAGGATCCGCTCGAAAGACCGCCGGAGGTCGAGATCGCGAGACCGCAAATCGAAATCCCGAGACAGAAAATCGCGCTCGCGCGACAAAGACAGACGCAGCCGATCGAAAGACAGAAAGGACAACAACAGGCGGCGGCGCACGCGCAGCAAAGAACGCAAGCAGCAGCAGCAGCCGCAGCCGCCGCAGCGCTCGCCCTCGCGTAAGCGCTCCCTGTCCCCGGTGGGGAAGTTCGGGAGACGGGGGCGGTCGCCGATCGGGCTCCGCTCGAACTCGCCCGTCGAGGAACTCAGTCCCGAGGAGAGGGACGCTAGGACTGTTTTCGTTATGCAATTGTCGCAGAGGATACGCGCCAGAGACTTGGAGGAGTTCTTCAGTTCAGTGGGTAAAGTGAGAGACGTGCGGTTGATTGTTTGCAACAAAACGAGGAGGTTCAAGGGGATTGCGTACATCGAGTTCAAAGACCCGGAGAGCGTCGCCTTGGTGAGTGATGGAACGTGGAGTTTTTGAAAAGTTTGATGATGATGGTTTGTTTTGTAGGCGTTGGGGTTGTCCGGACAGAAGTTGCTAGGGGTGCCGATCATAGTCCAGCACACGCAAGCCGAGAAGAACAGAATGGGCAACTCGATGCCCAACATGATGCCCAAGGGCATGACAGGACCAATGAGGTTGTATGTAGGTTCTTTACATTTCAATATCACGGAAGATATGTTGAGGAGTATCTTCGAACCGTTCGGTAAAATTGACAATATCCAGTTAATCATGGATCCGGAAACGGGGCGATCGAAGGGTTACGGGTTTATAGCGGTAAGTTCGTTTTTTCGTTCGTCTGGAACAATTTTTTCATTTGGTTTTGCGCGCAGTTCCATAATTGCGAAGACGCTAAGAAAGCGTTGGAGCAATTGAACGGGTTTGAGTTGGCAGGTAGACCCATGAAAGTCGGGAATGTGACGGAAAGACTGGATTTGCAACAGCAAGGGCCTTCCATTTTGGATTCGGACGAGTTGGATAGGTCGGGTATCGACCTGGGGGCGACGGGACGGCTGCAATTGATGTTCAAATTGGCCGAAGGGGCCGGGATGCAGGTGCCACAGGCGGCAGCGAACGCCCTCAGCATAGCCACGGGTCAACCCATAGTCCCACAGGTCCAACAGAACTCCACGCCACCAATCGCCACGCAGTGCTTCATGTTGAGCAACATGTTCGACCCTGCGACGTGAGTAGCTGTCACAATTTTTAATAATAAAATAGTATTGTAAGAAATAATAATGGAGCCAAATTTGACCCTTCTGGTACTCCAGACGTTTTAGCATTGTTTAAGTATATTATAATTGGACAACCTATACGGACAATCACTTTCCCATGTAGAAAAGAATGAATATATATTTTACATCTCACTCGCTTCACTATGAAGTGGGGGTACCTTACGAAAGGGGGTAAAAATAGTCCATAAGCACGTGATGTCGATAAGGTAGTAAACGGACGTATTAATCAGTACGTTGTACGGGGAACAGTCACAAAATAAGCAAACGTACGTGTTGAAGACTTTACTGTAATATATGTATATGTAGTGCATACCTGTTTCAAGGTTAAGGTAACAAAAATTTAATATTATCGCGGTATACCTATTATCCATGAACTGCATGGCTAACAAATATGCGTCCCTTTTTAAATTTTGCAGTTTTTGAATTTCCAGTTATCCGATGTTCCGATTTCTTTAATTTTCAATATTTAGATTTTACAATACATATTTTTAAATGTAACACCCTATATATTTTTTTACATATTTTGATTGATCTTTTATTTGGCTTTTAAATTTTGAAATTTCGATGCGACGTTGCCATGTTTTTTCAATTGTCTTACAAATTTTTGGTAATGGAACGATTCAAAAAAATCATGTTAGGGTCATTTTTAAAGTCACTCTCTTTTTCAAAATTACAGCCTTATGAAAATTTTAATGTTTTTTCGACTACTTTCAAAAATTTCCTTTCGACTGCTAGAAATTATTTTCGGCCTCATTTCTCGGAAAACTTTCACCATTTTTCCAAAATCGCCTAACGAAAAATGGCAAGTTTTGAAATTAAAAAAAAAAAAAAAATATTGTAAGACCGAGTCTTTCTAAATTTTGGTCCCGGATCAAAAACACGCTATACTTTTGTATCAGCACTTCCAAATATATATCTCTAATTTTTTTGTGGATTTTTAGACAGCTTTTTTCAAAAGTTCCAATTTTTAAAATTCCACCCCCATAAAAATTTCGAACCTTTTTCGAAAATAACCTTAAGAATTTGATTTTTAAGTTCCCCGATTTTCCAGTTTTTAAATTTTGCAATTTTTGAATTTCCAATGATCCGATTTTCCGATTTCTATAATTTTCAATATTTAGATTTTACAATACATATTTTTAAATGAAACACCGTATATATTTTTACATATTTTGATTGATCTTTTCTTTGGCGTTTAAATTTTGAAATTTCGATGCGACGTTGCCATGTTTTTTCAATTGTCTTACAAATTTTTGGTAATGGAACGATTCAAAAAAATCGTGATAGGGTCATTTTTAAAGTCTCAGTCTTTTTCAATTTTTCAAAATTCCAGCCTTATGAAAATTTTGATCTTTTTTCCACTACTTTCGAAAATTTTCTTTCGACTGCCAGAAATTACTTTCGACCTCATTTCTCGGAAAACTTTCACCGTTTTTCCAAAATCGCCTAATGAAAAATGGCAAGTTTTGGAAATGAAAAAAGAAATTGATTGTAAGATCGAATCTTTTTAAATTTTGGTCCGGGACCAAGAACGCGCTTCCAAATATATATCTCACAATTTTTTTTTTTTACTTTAGCCAACTTTTTTCAAAAGCTCAATGTTTCAATACTCCAACCTTTAGAAAATTTTGATCTTTTTTCGAGAACTGAAGAGATTTTTTTTGTTGATTTTAGTCTTTAAAAGTTACTTTTGAACTCATTTCTTCAAAAACTATGAGCATTTTTCCAGAATGGCTCAAAAAATCTCACAAACTTTAGTTCCCCGATTTTCCAATTACAAAATTTTTCAATTTTTAAATTTTGCAATTTTTGGATTTCCAGTTTTCCGATTTTCCGATTTCTATAATTTTCAATATTTAGATTTTACAATACATACATATTTCTTGGTTTTATTTTTCATTTTCCCGATTTTTTAATGTTCATTTTGACAGTTCTATATCAAAATTTTTCGTTTTTTGATTTCCTTCATTTTTTCAATGTCTCCGATTTTATAATTTTTCGTTTACTCAAATTTTCAATTTCTAAAAGTTACTTCTGAACTCATTTCTCCGAAAACTTTCACCATTTTCCCAGAATGGCCCAAAGAAATCGCACAAATTATAGATTAAGAAAAAAGAAATTGAATTGAACACCCAATATTTCCAAAATTTTGACCGAGTACTAAAAACACGCTATATTTTTGGAATCAGCACCTCGAGATGCTCGTCCTAGAATTCTTTGTGGATTTTTAGACAACTTTATTCCAAAGCTCATTGTTTCAATACTTTTTGATTTTGAAAATTTGATCTTTTTCGAAAACTTAAGAGATCGTCCACTTTAAAGGTATACGAAATTAAACGACCACTACTTTAATTAATAAGTAACAAGTCATCTAATTTGCCTCCAGAATAACTATGGATTATCATCAAACTATGAACACCAAATTAATGCAATCTTCTTACGTATTTTTTTTATTAACAGTAGTCAAATCATTAAATACATATTATTTTTGAAACTAAAATGCATTTTATCCTAAGATTGTATCACAAAATATTCATCACCATTTAAATATATACGATTTAGACATCAAGAAATAAATTTAAAATTGCAAAAATTATACTAAACCAGTCTTAAATGTGTCTTGTATGTACGTGCTTATCAGTATGTAGGCATTTTAACGCACAGCAATAATCGTTCTTGATGAGTAATGACTGATGACTACTGTAACACAGTAAATCCTCGAAATCGAAAATTTAAAACACTGAAAAATTCAAATATGGGAAAATTGTAAAATCTAAAATTTAAAAATCGAGAAATTGAACAATCGGTTAATTCAAAAATCGAAACATCGAAAAATAAAAAAAAATTGGACAATCGAAAATTTAAAAATTCCGAAAATTGAAAAATTGAAATATAGAGAACTGAAAACTCAAAAAATCGAAAAAAATTAATAATTTCAAAAATTGAAAAGTTAACATTGAGAAATCGAAAAACTGAAAAATCACAAAATTGAACGAAATATCAAAAAATTAGGAAATTAAAAAATTGAGAAACAAAAAAGTCAAAAAAGCAGAGTCTAAAAATCGCAAACTTAAAAAATCGAAAAATTGAAAATCAAAAACCTGAATAATTGAAAAATTGAAGAACCGAAGAACTGAAAAATCAAAACTTTAGCAAGTGGAGAAATGGGAATATAAAAAAATAGATTAATTGAGAAATCCGAAAACTAAAAATTCAGAAACGTCAAAATTTGAAAAATAAAAAAAAATTGAAGAACTAAAAAATCGAAAAATCTAAAATTTAAAATATTGAAAAGTTAAAATATCCTAAAACTGAAAAATGGAAAAATCCACACATCAAAAAATCAAAAAAACAAAAATAAAAATAAACTGAAAAATCAACGAATCGAGAAGTCGAGAATTTAAAAAATTGGACAATTGAAAAATCGGATAAATCAAAAATCGAAACATCGAAAAATCGAGAAACCGAAAAGCAAAAAATCGAAAAATCGAAACATTGTAAAATTCAAAAATTGAGACATCGAGAAATCGAAAAATCAAAAGACAAAAAAAATCGAGGAGTCGAAAAATCAAAAAATTGAGAAACCGAACCTTAAATATGGAAAAATTGATAAAACGAGAGATTGAATAATCAAAACATCGAAACATCCGACTCTCAGTGAATTGAGATCTCAAAAAATTTAAACATTCGTAAATTTAAAAAATTAAAATATAGAACTGGAAACTCGAGAAACTGAAAAATCTAGAAATTTAAAAATTAAAATATGAAAAAATTGAAAAATTGAGAAATTGAAATAAAAAACAAAAAACCGAAAATCCAAAAATAAAAAATAGAAAAATCTAGAAGTCGAAAAATGAAAGAATCGAAGTATTGAAAAATATCAAAACTGAAAGAAATATCCAAAAATTGAGAAATCGACAAACCAATAAAGCGAAGTCGAAAAATCGAAGAATTGAAGAACTGAAAAATCGAAACTTTAAGAAGTGGGAAAATCAAAAATAGATTAATTGAGAAATCAGAAAACTGAAAATTTAACGCAAAAATTTGAAAAATTCAAAAATTTAAATACTGAAGAACTGAAAAGTCAAAAAATCGAGAAATCGAAAAACTAAAATTTAAAACAATGAATAATTAAAATATCGCAAAATTGAAGAATCGAGAGATTCAATTCAAATTGAAAAATTGAAAAATCGGGGCATTGAAAAATTGGAAAATCCAGAAATTGATAAGCTCAAAAGAAAAAAATCGAAAAACCGAGAAATCCGAAATTCAAAAACTGAGACTTCGAGAAATTGAAAAATCGGAGGATCGAGAAATTGAGGAGTCGGAAGCCGAAAAGGAAAGTTAAAAATTGAAAAATTGAGAAATTGAACAATCAAAACAACGAAACATCTGAATTCGATAAATTGAGAAATTAAAAAATTGAATAATCGAAAAATTTTAAAAAAGAAAAACTGGAAAATCAAAAATTAAAATTGAAAAAATTGAAAAATTGAAAAATTGAAATATAGAAGAACTGAAAACTCGAAATATCGAAAAACCTAGAATTTTAAAAAATGAAATATTAAAACATCGAAAAGTTTAAAAATTGAGAAATCGAAGCATTAAACAGTCCCAGAATTGAAAAATCTAAAGTTTACAATAAATTGAAAATCCAAAAAGGAAAAAAGCGAGAAATCAAAAAAAATCCATCAATTCAAAAATCGAAAAGTCGAAAAATTGAAATATTGAAAAATCTCATAACTGAAAGAAATATTAAAAAAATTGAGAAATTAAAAAATTGGAGAATTGAGAAATCGAAAATCTAAAAAAGCAAAATTGAAAAATCGTAATCTTAAAAAATCGAAAAATTCAGGAATTGAAGATGTGAAAAATCGAAACTTTAGGAAATCCAGAAATGGACAAATAAAAAAAATACTTTAGAAATCGGCAAACTGAAAATTTAGAAACGTGAAAATTTGAAAAATTGAAAAATCGAAATATTTAAAAACCGTAAAATTGAAGAGGACAAAAATTGAGAAATCGTATCATTGAAACATCGTAAGATTGAGAAATCGAAAAATAAAAAAATCGAGAAATAGAAAATTTAAGGAATGGAGGAATCGGAAAAGCCCAAAATTGAAATATTGAAAAATTGAGACATTTAAAGTTGAAAAATCGAGAAATCGACAAGCCGAAAAATCCCAATAGCGTATTTAGGTATAAATCACAAGATCAGGACTATTCTACTTTTTAAAATTTAAATACATAACATTATAAATTGGAAAATGTTGATTTTTTTTCCAAAAATCTTGACGTCAAAGGTGAAAACTCGACACGGATGCATAAACCGTAAACGAGGCGAAACTACAATTTTACTATTGTAAAATTTGGAAATTGCGTCATTTCATTGTTCGTGACAAATTTTGGAGAGTGTAATTTGATAATACAATTTGAAATGTAAATTTTGTCATTCGGGAACATTATGTATTAAATCGTTAAGATGTTCAAGAACTTTGTTCACTTATTCGTTGTAAAGTCCAATGCTCGAAATGGGTTAGTTCGTAATGGATGTGTATCAGATCAACTCTAACGAATGTCGGCTTATAGATAAATCGCTTAAAGCCGATATTGGCCTGAGTGTGCTTTGGTCTGTAGATCAAACAAGTTCTCAGGCGACGAAAAATTGCATGTGGAGGGAGACTTCGGATTACAAATCGTGCCAAGAAAGACATATTTGGGACAGATGGATTTTCAGGTGCTTGACTAGCGGTAATTTTAAATTGTTTGCTGTCGTTCGCGAAGTGAAGAACACAATTTCATTAAAATGATAATTATAAAATTATCATAATCACTATTGGTGTTAATTAACACAAAATGGCGCGCAAGTTATCAGTTGATTTCGTTAATAAATTTTTTTCTCTCTTGTAATTATTTGTAATGTTAACGCCGAAAGTTTATGTCATTCTGTTATTTACTTTGAACATATATTTTCATTTTGTGTTAATATTTTTGTAACACCACGAATCTAAATTTTACTTAAAATCTTGTTTTACTTTAATCTTGTAAAACTAAACAATTATACCAGTTTAAAAACCCTTGGAAAGTTTCTGTCAGTCTTCAGATATAGTCAAATCAAAATATGCGTCAAATTGATTTAAATTCAATTCTTTCTTATCACGTTACAACGCGTTGCTTCATATTTTTTATGTCAAGTATATTTTCATATTTTGTACATATATGTTTATACACATTACTGTTTACGGAACAATGTTGATTATGGATTTATGGATAACTCCTCGTATAAGAGCAGAGTGAAGGGTGTTTGCCTTTGCTAATGTTTGATGGCGCCATCTGATTTAGAGTAAAATAAACCTAATACGTTGGCTCACTGTAGTGAAAATGCGCGTTGACGAAAAATTTGTCCCACACCCCCTGGATTCCTTGTCCTAAAGCTCACTATTTAGGCGAAGTAAAATTTGTATTAGGTTGTCCAACTATAATATACTTAAACAATGGTTTTAGTAATGCCTGCACAAATTTCGTCTGACGAGTTTACTTTTTTTGCAGGGAGTCGAATCAGAACTGGGACGTCGAAATCCGCGATGACGTCATCGAAGAGTGCAACAAACATGGTGGCGTTTTACACGTATATGTAGATAAGGGATCACCACAAGGCAACGTCTATGTCAAGTGTCCGTCAATAGCTACGGCGGTAGCATCAGTCAATTCTCTACATGGGCGTTGGTTCGCTGGGAGAGTTATCACAGCCGCTTACGTTCCATTATTAAATTATCATTCGCTGTTTCCTGACGCCATGTCAGCAGCGCAATTGTTATTGCCATCCAATAGGAAGTAGTTATTTTCTTAAAAGTATAACTATTGTATTGTATCAATATTATTATTTGTAATAAATCTGCATCCTGTATGTAGGCATTTTGTAACCATCACAACAGTGACTTGTAGGAATAAGTCAGGGAGCAAGGGTTCACCTAAGTTGTATGTAAACAAGAATTGTAAAAATGCGAGAGGTTCGTTTGTAAAAATGTAATGAATAAAGTGCAGGCTAAAAGCGAATGATTTTTTTTTTATTTGTTTGACGTTGCTGGACTTGCAAATGTCAGCTTGTCAAATTAAACCGGCTATAAGACGTTTTGTTTTCACACAAAAAAAAGGAAAGTTATTTCTTTGTGTGTGTAAGTGCGTGTCTTGCAAAACAATGTTCTTGTAAATGGTATTAGAAAGTAATTAGCTCTCTTTTCGTAATTATTTCTTGTGTTAAAACTTTCAAATTCTGGCGATTTTCACGCACCTGTTGGCAGCAGTGCGCGTCAAGTGTCAACCGTAATGTCAACACTTCCCTTCAACATTTAAACCCACCACGAAACCCCCAATGGAAATAGCAAACGCCGTGGGGGCAACCCCTGGAGTGAACCGCACCGCCCGCGTCATGATGGAGGGCGTGGGGGCGCGCATAATCCGCGGCCCCGACTGGAAGTGGGGCAAACAGGTTAGTCTTCCCTTGTCAACCCTTATCCTCTAACCCTGTGCTTTTAGGACGGGGGCGAGGGCCACGTCGGCACCGTGCGCAACTTCGAGTCCCCTGACGAGGTCGTCGTGGTGTGGGACAACGGCACGGCCGCTAACTACCGCTGCTCCGGCCAGTACGACCTGCGGATCCTCGACAGCGCCCCCACGGGCGTCAAGCACGAAGGCACCATGTGCGACACGTGCCGCCAGCAGCCCATTTTCGGGATACGCTGGAAATGCGCCGAATGCGGCAACTACGACCTGTGCTCGGTGTGCTACCACGGAGACAAGCACCAGCTGCGGCACCGCTTTTACCGGATAACGACTCCGGGGAGCGAGCGCGCGTTCCTAGAGACGAGGCGCAAGAGTAAGAAGATCGCCATACGCGGGATCTTCCCGGGGGCGCGGGTCGTGCGAGGGGTGGATTGGCAGTGGGAGGACCAGGATGGGGGCAACGGGCGCAGAGGAAAAGTGCAAGAAATCCAGGACTGGTCGGCGGCGAGCCCTCGATCGGCGGCGTACGTGGTCTGGGATAACGGCTCGAAGAATTTGTACAGAGTGGGGTTCGAAGGGATGGCGGATCTGAAGGTGGTGAATGACGCAAAAGGCCAGAACGTGTACAGGGATCACCTGCCGTGCCTGGGGGAACAAGGACCGGGTCGATCAGGGCCCCCAGGCTTGAAAATCGGCGATCAAGTTAATGTAGATTTAGAATTGGAGATTGTGCAGTCGTTGCAACACGGTCATGGGGGCTGGACTGACGGCATGTTCGAATGTTTAAACGGAGTCGGCACCGTCGTGGGGATCGACGAAGACCACGACATCGTCGTCGCTTATAGCAGCGGCAATCGATGGACTTTTAACCCAGCTGTCCTGACTAAAGTTGCCACTCCTACGAATTCAGTTGGGTTTAACGAGACCCCGCAGCAACAATTCGCTGTCGGCGACATGGTGCAGATCTGCTCAGACATGGAACGCGTCAAAATGCTCCAAAGGGGCCACGGAGACTGGGCTGACGGCATGGCCGCTGTAAGTCCATTATTTACAAACCCTAACCTATAATAATTGACTAAAAATTTTTTTTTTGTTGGCAGACTCTCGGAAAAATCGGCCACGTCCAGCAAATCTACAACGACAACGACCTCAAAGTCGAAGTGTGCAACACCACCTGGACCTACAACCCCCTCGCCGTCACCAAAGTCGCCAGTAAAGACGGCACCATGCACGGCACCACCAGCGGCGAGCGGTTGAGCGCCCTCTTGAAGAAGCTCTTTGAAACCCACGTTTCGGGCGACGTCAACGAGGAGCTGGTGAAATTCGCCGCCAACGGAGACGCGCAAAAATGCGAGGAGGTCCTGAAGCAGAGTAACGCCTCGGGGGCGGGCATCGGCCCGGACGTCAACGGGGTCTTCGCGGGGCACACGGCGCTGCAGGCCGCCAGCCAGAACGGCCACCTGGAGGTCATCACGGTGCTGTTGCGTTTTCACGCCGATGTGGAGATCGAAGACAAGGATGGCGACCGTGCTGTCCACCATGCGGCCTTCGGGGACGAGCCGGCGGTGGTGCAGCTGCTGGCGCACGCGGGGGCCGACCTGAACGCGAGGAATAAGCGCCGGCAGACGGCTTTGCATATCGGGGTGAATAAGGGGCACCTGGGGGTGGTGAAGATGCTGCTGGATTTGGGCTGCCATCCGAGTTTACAGGTAAGTGGGGTTTGGGTGGAAAGGGGCTGATTTTGTAGTTTTTATTTCTAAGTAAGGTTATGTTACAGAAATTGAATTAATTTTGGATTGGGGGTATTTAAAGGCAAAGTTGGCTGCCCTATTCGTCTGACTTTTGCATTTAAAAATTGAGGCAATGCGAGACCTGTTTAGTTTTTTTGTTGTTGTAATCAATACACGTTGGTAGCATTTCTGACAGTTCGCGGGTTTGCGCATATGGCGGATTGTTTCAACTTTGAAATTGTTGGAATTCGGTGTTTTTTCGCAAATTCGGTTTTTGTTTCAAGTTGTTTTGAACTCTAAAGCGTTTAGAAAGTGTTTTGAAAAAGAGATGCGGTCATTTTTTTGCTACAAGTTCAGGTAAGATTGAATCACTTGGTTGAAGTTATTTCGTGTTTTGCGATAAAAAAAAATGGTAAAATGGTCATTTTTGCGCTATATTAGTAAATAAGGCGGTGATTCGTTCTTCTAAAACGAAAATTTTTGCCCTAAATTACCCAATTTCAAATTAAAAATCTTCTTAATTAGTTGTTGTAAGTAGGCCTGGAATGGTACTAGAATGTTAATAAATTTCTTTTAAATGTGATTTTCTCACTCAATTTGACATACGCTTAATAAAAACGATTCATTTAGGTGAATTGTAAATCGGGAATTAGTTGCAGGGACCAGAATTCACGTTTCAAACAATTCCGATAGATGGCGCCACTTGAATCCATTGTCATGGCCCACTTGGTTAATTTCTAAAGAAATTATTAAATCATTAATTAATTAATTATTAAATCTGTGCAGATTAATGGAATCCATGGCATTGTGATAGTTTTATATTTTACTTCTTTTCTAAACTTTTTTCTCTCCTGGAATTTTTTTAACTTAAAAATGTCAAAAGGAATAACAGTCTTTTATTAATACAGCGCCGTCTAGATTATGTTTTGTCTGGTTCCTTACTATGTTGTTGAATATTCTGCGGCTTTTGGATTATAGTGTTCTTAATTATTGCTGTATCAAAAAAAAAAAAAAATTGGTCGATGGTTGTGTCGACAGAACTTACCTCGTCCTTGAAGTAAAGCCCAAGAAACATTGAAAATTCAAGTATCGAAAATTAAAAACTTTGTCGAATTCGAGGTTTTATGGATCTATTAATGTTTCGATTTCTCGATGGTTTAATTTTCAATTGTTCGATGTTTCGATTTCCCGGTTTTTCGATTTTTTGGTTCTTCGATTTTCCATTTTTTTGATGTTTCGATTTTTCAATTTCTCGATTTTCTCAATTCTTTGATTCTTCAATTTTTTTTTTGATTTCAGATCTTTCAACTCCTCAATTTCCCTTTTTTTGAGTTTTCAGATTTTCGTTTTTTTAAATTTCCCATTTATCGATTTTTCAATTTTTTCCATTTTACGATTTTTTAATTCTTTTAAATTTCCATTTTTCGAATTTCCGAAATTTCCATTTCTATACTTCTCGGTTTTTCAGTGTTAAAATTTTTCGATTTTTCAAATTTTCGATTTCTCAACTTTTCAGCACTTCTATTTTGGGAATTTTTTCGTTTCTGTATTTTTGAGTTTTTTGATATTTTAATTTTAGATTATTTCGTTTATCGATTTTTCGACTTTTCGGCCTTTTGATGTTGCAAATTTTCGATTTTTCGGTTTTTCCATTTATCGAGTTTTCGGTATTTCGATATTCGATTTTTTTAATTTTGACCTGACCTGACCTGATTCGTTGAATTTTCGATTTTTCAATATTCGAATTTTCAATTTATTTCCGTTTTAATTTTTCAACTTTTTTTTTCAATTCTTCGATTTATGATTTTTCAAACTTACGAATTTTCACATTCTCGATTTTTCAATTTTTTCATTGTTCAGTTCTTAGACGTTTCCTTTCTTTGGTTTTCGATTTTTCGGTTTCTCGATTATTCAAATTTCCATTCTTCAGTTCTTAGACTTTTCATTTCTTTGCTTTTTGATTTTTCGATTTCGAATTTTCAATTTTTTTACTTTTTAATTTTTCGACTTTCATTTTCTCAATTCTTCGATTTTTGTTTTGTCAAACTTTCGAATTTTCACATTCTCGATTTTTCAATTTTTTCATTGTTCACTTCTTAGACGTTTCCTTTCTTTGTTTTTTGATTTTTCGATTTCGAATTTTCAATTTTCTTGCTTTTTAATTTTTCGACTTTTATTTTTTCAATTTTTCGATTTTTGATTTTTCAAACCTTCGAATTTTCGCATTCTCGATTTTTCAATTTTTCCATTCTTCAGTTCTTAGACTTTTCATTTATTCGCTTTTCGATTTTTCGATTTCGAATTTTCAATTTTTTGACTTTTTAATTTTTCGACTTTTCGAATTTTCCATTTCTCGACTTCTCGGTTTTTCAATGTTAAAATTTTTCGACTTTTCAAGTTTTCGATTTCTCAACTTTTCAGCACTTCTGTTTTGGGAATTTTTCGTTTCTGTATTTTCAGTTTTTTGAAATTTTAATTTTAGATTTTTCGGTTTATCGATTCCTTGAATTTTCTCGACTTTTCGATTTCTCGATCTTTTAATGTTTCGATTTCTCGACGTTTCAATTTTTCGAGGTTTCGGTTTCTCGATTTCTCGTAATTTCGATTTTTCGACTTTTCGGCCTTTCGATATTGCAAATTTTCGATCTTCGAAATTTCTGATTTTCGATTTTTCCATTTATTAAGTTTTCGGGCTTTCGATATTCGAATTTTCGCCTGACCTGACCTGACCTGATTCGTTGAATTTTCGATTTTTCAATATTCGAACTTTCGAATTTTCGTATTCTCGATTTTTCAATTTTCCCATTCTTCAGTTCTTAGATTTTTCATTTCTTTGCTATTCTTTTTTTCGGTTTCAAATTTTCAATTTTTTTACTTTTTAATTTTTCGACTTTCATTTTTTCAATTCATCGATTTTTGATTTTCAAATTCTCGAATTTTCACATTCTCGATTTTTCAATTTGTCCATTCGTCAGTTCTTAGACTTTTCATTTCTTTGCTTTTCGATTTTTCGGTTTCGAATTTTCAACTTTTACTTTTTAGCTTTTCGACTTTCATTTTTTCAATCTTTGATTTTTGATTTTTCAAACTTTCGAATTTTCGCATTCCGATTTTTCAATTTTTCCATTCTTTAGTTCTTGGACTTTTCATTTCTTTGCTTGTCGATTTTTCGGTTTCGAATTTTCAATTTTTTTACCTTTCGATTTTCAGTTTTTCCGTTCTTTAGTTTTTAAGTCGAAAAATTGAAAAATCGGGAAATCTAAAATTCGAAACATCGAAATCTGGATAATTCGAAAAATCTAAAAATGATAAAACTTTCAAAAAACCAAAAAATTGAGACAACGAAAAACCGAATAATCAAAATACGAGAAATCGAAAAATCTAAAATTTAAGAAACCAAAAAATTGAAACATCAAAAACCGAAAAATCAAAAACGAGAAATCGAAGAAATTAATATTACGAAAAATTGAAAAATCCGAAAATTGAAAAAGAAAAACTGAGATATTTAAAAATTGCAAAATCGAGAAATCGAAAATATAAAAATGGAAAAATCGAGAAATTGCGAAATTGAAAAGCCGAGACGCTTAAACATCGAAAAATTGACCAATGGAGAAATGGGAAAATCAAGATATCCGAAAATCGAAAAATCTAATAGTCAAAAGGTCGAGAAGTCGAAAAATCGAGGAATCGAAAAGTCGAAAAATCGATTAATAGAAAATCAGAAAATTTAGAAACACCACACATTGGAATATCAAACAATCGGAAAATTTAAAAAAACAAGAAATTGAAGAATCGAAAAATTGAAAATCGTAAAACTGAATTATCGGAAAATAGAGAAATCGAAAAATAAAATAATCGATAAATCAAAAAATTGGTGGAAAGTTGTACATTTTGACTAAAAACTTACCATGCTTATAATAACTTGAAAACGTCTGCAAGATTTCAAAGCATTCAGCTTTGCAATTTTTGACTTAATCAACAAAATAAATTAATTCAGTCACTAATTTTTTTGAGACACCCCGTATGAGCAAATAAAAAATATTAATGCAGTGATAAATGTGTTATAATTTGAAAGTTGTTTAGTGTGTTAATTATTATTATTATTATGTTATTAATATTATCATAGTGTAAAATAGTAAAGGATATGGGGTGATTTTCTTTAAATTTTGCTCTAGTAATCCATGACGCTTACGTCAACTGTGAAATGTGTTGATGCCATCAAGATTTCAATTGTTCTAAAAATCATACAAAATCTTTTATTTATCCCACTAGTTTTGCATAAATGTTGAATGGTGTTTTGGATTTTAAGAGTTCTGGCAAAAACTATAAAATATCTACACGTTATGCATAAAATGCTCTATAAATCGTGCACTATATGGGTTATATGTGCTGTTAATTTTAATTTTATGCTTCTTAATTAAGCAGGTTTGGATTAAAACGTACGTGTCTATAAAATAAAAATAGCCTTTTAAATTTTAAACATTCTAGATTACATTATAGATGGCGCGAGTCGTTGGTAATTTTTTTTTTGACCAGAATACTTTTTTAGTGGGACCGTAAGAACAAGTGTGCGACAGCCCAAGTAATGATCAATTTTGTAGTTGAAAGTTTACAGTGCCATAAATTAACGTCTTCGCGGTTGACCGTGCGGATTTATGGCATATTTTTATTGTTGTCTTTCATTTTGCCCCCCAGGAGCACCTTTTATATCTTCCCATAAAGGTTAGATACCAAATGAAAAATTTTTTCGCCGCCGGTTTTTATTTCATGCTGTCTGCTTTTACTGCTTCAATTAGACGCTTAGGAAATCGTGGAGGATGATGTGGATGGTCGTCCTGGGACCGGCCATTATTCATCCTATCCGTCCATATGGAACGCGTCCCATCGATCGAGGCGAGCTTTACGGCCGATAAATGCCATATTTATTTTAATAATACCCATACAGGCGTTATTAGCATAATACGGATTAATATAACTGC